ATGTGTATCCATATGGGGCCTATGACATCGAGAATCCAAAAAATAGCAATGTTTTCAAGGTAAATGGACATCGTCTGAAAGTTTACTTTGACAATTTTTCAGTTGAACATGACTCTATTGAATTGGGTGATCCTATATATAAAGATTGATTTTTTTTTTTTGTTTCTTTTTGAGTGATTTTTGCTAGTTTCTCTCACCCCGGTCAAATGGTGGATAACGGTACTCCGTGACTTAAGTCGGTTCTTTCAGTTTCCCATAATAATTGATATCTATGTATATATTTGTGCAATTCTTTGAATCTGTCTTCCAATTCTCATTTGAAAATGGACACTAATCTTGAAAAATTGAAAAAGTATTTTCTCGCTCTACCTCAGAATGCAATTACAAAAATTTACCGTGCTAGATGTGCAAGATTGAGATTGTTAATGAATCATGGAATTCCTAAAGATATTCGCTGGTTGATTAAAGCAAAGGTCCAATTATCAAGTGAGTCCTCTAACTCCTTCATTTCATACATACCTGGAACAGGTAAAAGCACTTTTGCAAAGAAACGTCGTGCAAAACGACTGAAAGTTTGTCATCGATGTGCTAGATGGACTTATAATACACAATGTCGTTCTTTAGGAATGGTATCTATAAACCGTGAAGATAAAATACAATTCATTAAGGATGGCCTGAGTAAGGAGTCTTGATAGATAATCTTCTATTGACTCTTGAGACGCATCCTAGTGGAGATGTGCATCGTGTAATTCATGATTTATGGCCAATATTTCATAAAGAACATGATGGACTTAGTCTTGAGAATCTGACTAGAAAAGACCCTGTTGCCAGTTTTTAAGAAAGCTGGATGGGAAGCCTATCCCCGACCCATAGAGGGCGTTTAAGCCGTTCTTGAACGTAAAACCAAGGGAAGATGTGAGCCACAATCACAACTACCTATCATACACATGCTTTTTCAAAAGTAAATAAATAAATAAATAAATAAATAAAGAGAGAGAGAGAGAGAGAGAGAGAGAGAGAGAGTGAGACTCTAGTTGGCCTACATATAGGTGGTATGATTGCCTTTCTAATTTCTCATCTATAAAATCCTCTCTTCCTTCTTTTCATTTCTACTCAACCCATACATTAAACAAATACAAAAGTGTGTAGAAATGGCAAGTTCCTCAGGTCATCATATAAGAAATATTTATGTTTTTGGTGGATCTAGTCCTGAGAAAGAAAAGGAGTTTTTAGAATCAACAAATCATCTTGGTCAAGTGCTAGATGAGAGAAAGATTCATTTAGTGTATGGGGGAGGTAGTCTTGGGTTAATGGGAAGTGTGTCAATAGCTGTATTTTTAGGAGGTAGTCAAGTTTTGGGGGTTGTCCCCGAAGCTTTAGCAAAATGGGACATCATTGGAAAAACAATTGGAGAAGAACTTCAGGTCTCCACAATGTCTGCTCGAATGAATGCAATGTTTAACCATGCTGATACCTTCATTGCTTTATCAGGTGGTCTAGGCACATTGGAAGAGATCTTTCATATTTCCTCTTGGGCCCAACTACACATTCACCATAAACCCACAGGTTTGTTAAATGTTAATGGTTATTATGATAAGTTGTTGTCTTTTCTTGATCATGCTGTGGAACAGGAATTTCTAACATCTTCTGCACGACAAATCATAATCTCTGCTGCTACTGCTGAACAATTGATTGACCAACTACAATCTTTCATTCCTGTAATTGATCCTTCCATGAGTCGCATAAATTGGTCAACTAAGAAAAGCCGTAAAAAGCTTCGATTGGATTTGAGCCTTCATTTGTGAATCTTTGTGTCTTTTGGTTTTATTATTGTGTTTTGTTGTTACTTATATTTGTTTCAGTGTGTTTCAGATTTGTCAATGTTCGTTATTTCAGGTGATATCTTCTATACTCTATCTTTCTACCTTTAAACATTGAGGACAATGTCTTGTTTTAGTTGGGGGGAGAGGGTAGTAGCTAAAAAAAAAAAACTGTGTTTTCTATTTCATAAAGCATGTGCAAAATTATTATTACTATGATGACAAAGTAAGGAGAACTTTTATGACTCTTGAGACGCATCTTAGTAATCATTCATAACAAGGTCTATCATAATACTTCTTGAAATATTCAGATTTACAAACTCTCGTATTGTTATCACTTAATTCTGCTCATATACTTATTTAATATGTATTCTTAAACCTTAATTTACACACACACACTTTAACATATGATTGTGGGTTGCATATTGGATTATTACATTATTTATGTTCTTTTGTTAAAGGTAACAACTAAGGGAAAGGGATTGTATATAATTAAAAAAAAAGAAAAAAAATGATAATAATAAAAATGTAGATAAGTTTGGTTTCGTAGCCTTCTTAACCTAAGCAATTAAGCCCAAAGGGGTGTTTTAACACCGAATACCCTAAAGTCAACTGACTTGGGAGCTATTGGCCCAACGCTTGTTACATGGGTTGAGGAGAAAAGCTTAAGGGAATCAAACATTGCACTATCTATATACCAGTATCTGCGACCCGAGTTACTAAGCTCGTAGGGGTGTCTTAACACCTAATGCCCTAAGACCAACTGGTTTGGAAGTCATTAGCTGAAAGCTTGTTACATGGGTTAAAGATGCATGGTGTTTTTAAATTATATGTATATATATTTAAAAAAGAAAAAGAAAAAAAAAGAAAAAAATAATAATCTCAACCCAAGGAAGTTAACCTTAAACATTAGAACAGAAATTTTGTTTTCTTCCAAGAAAAGCCCCATAATTATATGTTGATATATTGAGCACAAAAGAAAGGTTTATGAATATCTTGTTAAGAGGTATTGAGCAGGTATATAAATTTAACGAGAGTTTGTTTATCTAGATAGATTAAAGGAAGTTAAATGATGAATACCTTGCTTTGTGAAATTTGCAAATTGTTTTTCTATTTTAACGCTTTGATTACTAGGGACTAGTAATATGCTGGTTGGGGGGGGTGATTAGTACTTAAAAGTTCATTTTTATCAAGATTTTATATCATCATTTTGCACTTGAAGTATCAATAACTCTTTAACTAAAGTATGTTTTATAATAATATATCTAATAATATAAGATACCTTTAATTTGTGGTAAATGTTTATTTTAAATGCAGGTCTATCACATAAATGAAAGGATTGATTGATGAATTTAAGAACTGAAATTGAAAGGATAAAGAGATGGACAAACTTAGAAAAGAGATGTCGGTGCAATCCAAACCAGAATACTGTTCGGTAATTGGGTCATATCTGGAGCTATAGATCTCAGATTTAGGTCTACTTTATATGGATGGAAAGTTAAGACATAGGCCTACAACTTTCATATGGAACCCAAGATCTAAAAAGGTCATTTTCAAGTCCAAATTGTAGCAACAACAAAGAAGCCTGAATCTGTCCTCCAGCCCAAGCACTGTTCAGTATTTTGGCCATATCTGGAGTTCTAAAAGTCCAGATAATCTGATTTATGACATAAATCAGATTATCATGCCCGAGCACTGAACAGTATCTGGGCTACAAGATAGATTTGGACTTCTTCGTTATTGCTATAATTTGGACTTGAAAACAGCTTTTTTAAATCTTGGATTTTCATGAAAGCTATAAGTCTATGTCTTACCTTTTCATCCTTATAAATTAGACCTAAATCTGAGATCTACAACTCCAGATATGACTCAATTACCAAACAGTGTTTCAGTTTGGACTGTAACAGAATCTCTTTTCTAAGTTTGGCTATTCTTTGTTCTTTCAATTTCAATACTTCAACTCATCAATCAATCTTTTTATTTATGTGATAGGCTTGCATTTAGGATGAACATTTATCATAAACTAAAGGTATTTTATGGTATCAAACTTGTTATTATAAAAAATGCTTTAGTTAAGGAGTTATTGATACTTCAAGCGCAAAATAATGATATAAAACCTTGATAAAAATATACTTTTAAGTATTAATCAAGGATTTGGTAGTTGGCTTTATTAGTAGTATTAATTACTAACATGTTATATGTGTTTTGAGACGTGAAGCTCATAAGTAAGCCCGCGTCATCAAGAACAAAATCGTGAAGACAATAAAGTCTAAAACGAATAATATATAATATGTTAGGTCAAGCTGTTACAATTATGCTCAAGTATATTGAATTTGACAGTTTGCTAAACCTATAATTCTTTAAGCTTAGCTTATAGCTGAATGCAAGTATATTAAGTTTAGCAATTTGCTAGATCCATGTTTACTAGAATTAACACCTTGGTAGGGGTTAATACTTTTTCAAAGTATGGAAATATTAAGTAAAGAGCATTTACTTATCAAAATTTTAAGTTTTTATTAAACATCTTTTATAAAGCATGTCTTTATAATATTAAACTAAATATATTTGCTTACTAGTTTAATATATATTTATAAACTTTGATTTACAAAGCTAGTTATAATGAGCCCTTTTCATTTATAAACAAAAAGGTATAATCACTAATGTGTAGAAAAGAATAGTATTAAGCATGCCTTATCTCCTGGGATTGATATAAAAAGTTTGGGATTTAAATTTAGATAAATATCAATTTAATTTATAAAAAAATATTAATTTGACAAGATTTAATTAACTAAATAAATTGATTAGTGGCAAGATTGATCTAGTTAAATATGTTTAAATTTAATAGGATCGACATTAGGAGTTTTTAAAATAAAATGATGTAATTTTAAAAATAATAACTTAACTGGATTGATACAATAACCATGAATGGACACAACAACTCAGTGGCTTAAATTAAAAATATTTTTAAAAATAGTAAAATTATCCCTTAAAACACCGGAATTAATTAACCTTCGAGCGCCGTAGCTGCTAAATTATTAGTGGTGGGGCCATGCAAGCAAAGAAATCAAATTCAAGAGGTATGGACGGCTAAAATTTATGTTAATTATGTCACCAATCGAAATGCAATTATATTAATCATGGTTCATCTGTCCGCTGCCTTTTCTCCACCATAAATACTCCTTCATCACTCACATCCCCAGCAACACATTAGTAATAGACTTTATCCACATTTGAAGTTGAGGTAGCTAAGTATGGCGAAGGACATTGAGGTTGCAGAGCATGGAGAGACTGTGAGGGACTACCAGGACCCACCTCCAGCTCCATTGATTGATGCTGAGGAGCTAGGACAATGGTCCTTTTACAGGGCTCTTATTGCAGAGTTCATCGCCACCCTTCTCTTCCTTTATGTCACAGTCTTGACTGTTATTGGATACAAAAGCCAGACAGACCCAGACAAGGGTCTGGATGCTTGTGGTGGTGTTGGTATTCTTGGTATTGCTTGGGCCTTTGGTGGCATGATCTTTGTCCTTGTTTACTGCACTGCTGGTATCTCTGGTCAGTTGATATACTCATTATAATTAATTAACACTTAATTACGTCAGAATCACCATTAACAGCTAGCATGCATGAATATTACAGATTCCTGATTCAGTAATAGTAATAAATTTGCACTTTACACATGCAGGAGGACACATCAACCCAGCAGTGACCTTTGGTCTGTTTCTGGCTAGGAAGGTGTCGCTCATCAGGGCTGTTTTGTACATGGTGGCACAGTGCTTGGGTGCAATATGCGGCTGTGGTTTGGTGAAGGCCTTCCAAAAGTCATTTTACAATCATTATGGAGGCGGAGCCAACGAACTGCAGGAGGGGTACAACAAGGGCACTGGATTGGGTGCTGAAATCATCGGTACTTTTGTTCTTGTCTACACTGTCTTCTCCGCCACTGATCCCAAGAGGAATGCTAGAGACTCCCATGTTCCTGTAAGCATCCCTGTTATCAATTTAACTTTGAAATTCAGAATCCAAATTAATGTAATGGGTTGAATAACTATGATTTGTTGTAGCGTGAGGGTCGTTTCCTTTCTGACTTTGATTGTTTTTCTCATCTCGGGATCTTGGTTTGTGGAGACTCCATTAATACAGCTATAATCTTGAATTGAATTCCTTTTTTCTTAGGATAATTGATTATAAATAGTAATTACTATGTAAATAAATGGTACTATTAACCTTATTTCATGGCTCACAGAAACACCCTGCAACTAAAATTTTAACCATCATGTAGCTAACCATGCTATTTAATTTTAAAGGATTTCATTAACGGGCATGAAAAAACCTCATTAGGTATATTTTTTTTGGTTCCCTTTTCTTCTTTGCTATAAAGGTATTGGCACCTCTCCCCATTGGATTTGCTGTGTTCATGGTTCACCTCGCCACAATCCCAATTACTGGTACTGGCATCAACCCTGCTAGGAGCTTCGGAGCTGCTGTTATCTTTAACCAAAGCAAGGCCTGGGATGACCATGTACGGATATCCTCTCTCTCCTCTCCTCGTCTTTAAGAATTAACAAGCAGACGAGTCTTACAGTGATTATTTATTATTTTCCTCTGATTATGTTACAGTGGCTCTTCTGGGTTGGACCCTTCATCGGAGCTGCCATTGCTGCTTTCTACCACCAGTTCATTCTTAGAGCAGCGGCTATCAAGGCTCTAGGATCCTTCAGGAGCAATGCTTAAAGCCTTGTCAAATCAATCAAGGGTCCCTTGTGCTGTTGGGAAAACTCTCTATTTGCCTTCTCATGGGAAATTTAGATGGCAGTGGGATTATTAAAAAAAAAAAAAAAGTCTTCTCTATCACTGTTGGTTTTTGCTATTATTGTATTTCTCAGTTGGGTCATGTTATGTCTATCCTTAATCTTTCTCTTCCTTTGAACCATCTTTTCTTGTGGTGGTTCATGTTATTTCAACATCATTCTGCTGAAACGAACTGGTCTTCTTCTTTATCTCTTGATTGTCTTTGTTTTCCACGTAATTATGGTCAAATGCATAGTTGTCTTACCGGCTTAAACATGGTTTGTTTTTGTGCTTAGATGTTTTTTTTAAGATATGTTTAGCTTGAAGTGTTTTTATATAGTTTTGATATACTGATGTTTAAAATAAAAATATTAACATATTTTTAAGTAAAAACTATTTTTAAAAAGCATTTTATGCTATAATAGCAAACACACACTTAATTTAAAATAAGACCAACAAAATAGTTAAAATAATAAATTAAAACGAGTTAATCATTTAAATCTATTTCCTACGATTGTGGACACAATGCCAACCCTCGCACTTTCAATCTGTGGCCACATGTAACAAGTGCTGTGTGTGCGTGTAAAGCACAAACATGGTAAAATGTTGCAAGCATCAAATAAACATGAGCGGTGAGAAGGGACGACATGCTATGATTTGATATGGAACATCAGACCCCATCAAGGCATGGAGTACCTTCGAATTAAGGACCTCTCCTTAAGAGAGAAGAGAGTCCATTCCACGTGGATTTAGAATAAGTGTCTTCTCCCAGCACCCTTTAGACCTCAATAATGTGGAGTTTAACACTGGATATATTTTTTTTACTGCAAAAACATTGGTTTTGTCCGGGTTAATTTGGTATTACAGCGTTGAGTATTTTTTTAAAGATGTATTTCAATTAAAAATATATTAATTTTTATTTTTAATATTCATATATCAAAATCATTTAGAAATACCTAAAAAACATTGATTTAATATTTTTTTTAGATAAAAAAAATAGGTTATAAAGCAAAAACAATCATCTACTAAACATTCTATCATCACGCAGCTCTATTGAACAATTATAAAAATAAAATAAAATAAATATTGATTAAAGAGCTTGACGGCTACCATTAAATATTAAAAATTCAAAAAAAAAATAAAAAAAAAATATTGATTAAAGAGCTTAACGGCTACCATTAAATATTAAAAATCCTACAAGTACATGATGATGACATCCCTAAACGGATTAAAGGGAATGTGATGATGCACATATATATAAGGGCAGGAGGCCTTGAGATTCCTTGCTTTTCTCCTAACTTCCATAAATTAAATTATATGATGGTCATAATCTACCTTATCTTTTCCTTAATTTAGGGTTTGTGGTAATATTATAGAGCTGAGTAGGTGAAGGTTTGGATGTTTAATGATGCACATTTTGGCCTCATTAAAGGGGAAGGTGTGAGCCCTTGGCATTTGTTCTTGGACATGATAGGGAGATGCTTGGCCATAGAAGTCAATCTATCCCTATGTGGGATTGTTTTGAGTTGCTATTGTGTCACTTCATCTCCTACTCCTTATCTTAAGACAACAATTTTTCATTTTTTTTTTAATTTGGGAAGAAATAACAAACGACGAATATAAAAATATATCTAAGGAATAGAAATTATAAAGGTAAATTTAAAAAAAAAAAGGTGTAAATAAGTTATATTCCATTTCTCAAGTATATTCCATACAACTAAGAGATATTCCACCAAAAGCATATTTGGATGCTGCGTGATGTCACTTTGATTCTTACTTTCTTTGGAAAACAATGCATAGAATATTAAAAAATTTGTTATGTGGGAGTGTCTCAAAGCATATATATATATATATATCAAAATTAGATTTCTTAGATCATATTTTAAGTAGGCTATCTATATTTGAACTATACTTTTTTAAGAAAAAAAATTATAATTTTTTTGTAGGATTTGGATCTTAAATAAAAATTTCATATTTAAAAAAAAATTAAAAAGTACTCTACTTTTCTTGATATTTGAACATGATAATATTTTATTTAGATATTTTTTACTTTTGACTTTATAATTTGTATTTTTTATTTATTTTATGTACCTATGAGTTATCTCTTATCATTTTATTTTATGTACCTATGAGTTATCTCTTTATCATAAAATAAAAAAATAAAATAAAAATGTAAAATAAAAAAATAAAAAAATAAAATAAAAATATTGTTTTGTGACGAGGAATAAGAGATGAAGTCACATCAAGAGCACCACAAACACAATCCAGCCTGAAGATATTCCACTAAAAGCATATTTAGATGCTGAATGATGTCATTTCCATGTACTATCGTGCTTGCAAATATATATACAAAATATTGTTAAATGGGGTGTCTCAAAATAAAGATGAAAAAAAAAAACAAATAAACCCTTTTTATGGTATGTTATAATATTAATTTCAGTATATTAAAATTAAAATATTTTTTAATCAAATTTTAAGCAGATCATTTATATTTTTGAACTGATGCATTTAAAAAAAAAACCTTTTATAGGATTTGAGTCTAAATATTTTTTTTAATTAAAGAATACATGTACTTTATTAACCATTATACCTCCAAAAATAATATAATGATTTAAATCCTTAGATTTTAAAAAAAAATTAATGAAAGCTAGAATGGATGCTTTTGAAAATCAAGGTCTTATTTAGTATTTCTACTGTTAATAATAAAATTATTTTAATATATTTATAAATAACATATATTTTTTAAAAAATGACTAAAACAATATCAAACATTATATAAGTGCAATTGCCCATCCTATTGCATGAGATTCCAAGTGTCCATGCGTTCCATGTTCTTTAGAAATCAACATTTTCGAAAATTTCATGTGTTTTAAAATGATTAATAAGAGCGAAATAACAAAAGAAATTCCTAATCTCTCTCGGAAACAAGATAATATAATTTTTCTAGGGTTGTTGCCAACCAATTTGTGCCTGAAGTCAACCCAACTCCATCCTCTTTTTCTTGTTTCCCCCTTCTCCCTCACCACCCCTTTCTCTTCTTCTTTCATCATCATTTTTTTATTTTATTTTGCAAATCTAAAATCAAATTCTCTAAATCTCTTTGATAAAGATCTAATTTATTATTTAAATTAGATCTTTTTTGTATATTATGAGTACATATAGATTTTTGTTTGGATTTCTATCTATGAGTTTTTTTTTTGGTTTCATTGATTGTATTAAGGATTTTGATCTTTTCTTTTTAAAGTTTGCTTTCCTATACGTTATGATTTTTTTTTTCCTCTTAAGGCACCATCTATTCCATAAAAAGTAATTTTTTAATTACTATTATCAAAGAAAAATGTAATTTGATTTTCAAGAAAGTATTTTCATTTTATTTTGAGTGGAATATACATTCTAGAAGTTGCAAAAAATTAAAATACATCATATTATTTGTTGATTATATCAAATTTGATCATCAATTTTTTTATTACTGTTTATTTTATTTAAAATAATCTATGAAATTAAAAATTTATTTTTCAATCTCATCATTTTCAACTTTTATATTTGTTAAATTTGGTTCTTATTTATTTTATTGCTATTTGTTTTACATAAAATAATTTATGAAATATTTTTTTTTCAATTTCATCGTTCTTTAATATTTTTGTTTGTTAGATTTGGTTTTTATTATTTTAATAAACTTAAAAAAAATCAAAACACTAATAAGTTATTTTTCAGCTCATTTCTCATGAGATAACCAAATACTAGAAAATATTTTTCAATTTATTTTTCATAATACTACCAAACATAGAAAAAATAATTAACTTTCAGGAATTTACTTTTTATGAAAACTACTTTCTAAAAAAATAAAAGCTTTCCAACAAATAAATAGAACTTAAATAAAAATTCAGTGAAAGATTTAAAATTGGCAAGTGGATATACATCTTTCATCAATGAAATCAATGGTGGTTTTAAGGATGCTAGAACTTTTTATAAAGACAACCTAAACCTAAAACTGAAGGATGCTAGAACTTTTTATAAAGACAACCTAAAGTTTTAAAGTTTCAAATAATTTAATTAACAATCCAGATAGTTCAAATTAATAAAAGGAACAGTTGTTAATTTAAAGATATTTTAATACTTGTATTTTAATCAAACTCATGTTAAAATTTTGAATATAAAAAATTGTAGTTTAAAAAATAGATTTAAAAAAAATATTTGTAGTTGTGATTTAAAAAAATATGTATTTAATTAAAATTATTGTGATATATATATTTTTTTATTTAAAATAAATAAATAATAGATCTTCATGAATGAAAAATAAATTATTTTAATCTTTCCATGACCAAGATTTAAAATGTAATCATGAGTGAAGTTCAGTGCAAATAATGAAAGATATTTGACTAACCAAATAATTTTTTCTATGTGATTCAATTAAAAAACAAAACCTACCATAATAATAAATAATAAATAGTCTCCGACTCATTTTGTGTTTGGTTTTATGATGCAAGTACTTTCCAAAAATATATTTAAATTAAAAATATATTAAAATAATATTTTTCAGGTTTTTTTTTAATTTTTGCATTAGCATATTAAAACTATTCAAAACCACCTAAAATAATCAATTTAATATTTTTTTTAAACGAAAAGCTTAAAAAGCTATAAAAATAAAAGTTTATACTGAATATTTTTCAGACAAGACACTGAAGCAGCTAATTTGAAAGGGGAACAAGGATCTTGTGCAGATGGTAAATGGGCCTGTTTTATTTATATTGGTTTATTGCAGGGGGGTGCAAGTTGGGTGGGAGGGAGGGAGATGACAGGCGTCACGATCACCCCCACGAGATGTGATGGGGGGGGGGGGGGGGGGGGGGGGGGGGGGGGGGGGAATGGAATTTGCAGATAGGATATAATACCAAGGAATAAAAAGCATGAATGGTCATGACCTAATTTAGGTGGGGGGGAGAGAGAGAGAGAGAGAGAGAGAGAGAGCATTGATTTAAGCCCTAGCATGCTCACCGTCCTCTGCAATAATATTATGCTCACCGTCCTCTGCAATAATGTTAAGGGCAGGTGACACCGGCTACTGTTATTATTAGTTCTTACTCAACATCAAATGCATGCTTGTAGCCTTAGCCTTTGCTGATCCTCCAAGCTAAGAAAGACCCCATGTTTCCATTATCCTCACCTTTTCAGCACTCAAGCAACAAAACACAAAAAAAGGGAAAAAAAAAAAAAAACCTTGACAAATTTATAGGATGATTAAATAACAAGTCTTTATGTTCATATAATGCGTGTACTGGGTTGTCATTACTTGTAGTAATTAAACAGGTTTACATGTGATGATCGCATGAGTATTAAATAAATTGATTTCCCTTTCCCTTTCCTACTCTCTTGACTTCCTCGTATTAAAAGGCACTAAGTAAAGCCAGAAGAAACATGAATTTTTGACAAATTCATTAACAATAGATGAAATGGAAAGAAAAAATGTTTGGAATAATCAGAAATCATTTTGTTCCCTCCTTTCTAGCATTAGTCTCTATCACTGATAATTCAATACCAAGCAACAACCCCCCCTCACAACACGACCTTATAAATGTCAGTTCAAAGCACACTACTCAACTACGGGCTAGAAATACTTCACTTTCTACTCAGAATTGGATACTCAAAGCAAACAAAACAAGACAGAATGGCTCTCATACCTTCTTTCTTTCTCTTCCTCTCCTCCTCTTTAACCCTTGTATTCTTCACGGGAGCGGGAGCACAAGGGAGAGCTCCTCATGGCCTTGTTCATGAGAACCCCGTGGCTTTCTCACCATCTGCAGTTGAATTCTTCCATCCCAAAACACAGGAACCGAATGTCAAGAGCCCATGTGCTCCTTCATTTAGTTGCTCACCATTGCCTCTTGCAGCTCAATTAGAGGCTACTGATCAAGCACAAGAAAGTGAAATATCAACATCCCAGAAAGGAGGGAATCGACTGAGAGCTGGTGGAATTGCTGGCATTGTACTTGGTGTGGCATTTGCAGTGCTTTTGACAATGGGTGTCTACCATGTAATGGTCACACGCAAAGCCAACTTAAATCGAGCCAATTCTGTTCAAACTAATGCTTGATGTGGTCATCCAATAAGTCTAAATTACTATTACCAACTCCCTCTGATACTGCTCTGTCTCTCTTGGATTTTGGGCATCGAGTATATTTAGTGTCATTAGTTAGTATTGCGTGGTATTTTACAATTATGACTACTCATCAGGTTGTTCATCATTTCAGTCTTTTAGAATATATAAACAAAAAATGTTCCTTTTCTTTTCCAAATTCAGAGCATATTAGTAGTGTTAGGAAGATAAACATCCAATCTAGCTGTAAAAAGGTGCGCACCCACAGGATCCAGAAGTGAACACTGTTAGATTGGAGAGAAGCAATTCAGATTACACTAAAGCACGAAGGAAACCATGTAAACACCTTAAAGAAAACAAAGTATACTGCTATCACAACCACTGGGATAGCCAAAAAAAAATAAAAATCATGAAACCACAGCCCACAGGAATGGTTACTTATAATGTTCATAGATCTGTTCCCATCCAGAGTCGAATAAAAAAAAACTTAAGATCTCCCTATTGATCATTCCTCCTAATGGTTAAACAAGGTTACCCACATATAAGCTAACAATTTCTATATAATTTAAAAATTAAAAAGAGAAGGAAAGAAAACAAGCACTAACAATTCTATGTTTTAATTATATTGCATCAAGTTTCATTGCCATGTACTAAACATTTGCTAGAATAGAAATAGATGTGAAACAGCTGATCTGATGAACAACTCATTTTGGGGGACATGAACTATCACAAGCATTTGGCTTCTTTCATTTATTTGTGATGAAGAGACTGGTTCAGCATTATAATTCAAGAACCATTATGTCTATATAGCACCGTTACCTGCTACATTTCTTTGCAGAATATAAAGATCCATTTAGGTGTAATAAGTTACTAGGACTGCATAAAAGTTTTTTTGGGAGGAAACCCAGCTACATAAACACATGATACCCAGTTCGTCGTGAGAAAGAATGCAGAATCCTATAATTTGTAATTTAAAATATTTATTAGCTCTATTTGTGTAGAGAAAGCTCTGGGACACATGTGGCTATTCAGTGTAAAGCTTAAATTATTGGAAGTGAAGTCTCTAAGAACAGATTCTGTGAATTCACAGCCATGGCGTCTTGTAGATCCACTGCCAAGAACAGAACTAGGAAAGCAGTTCTATCAAATTTGAAATATTTATCACAATGAATGATTCACTTAAATGATATAACATGAGGCTAGATCTAAGCTGAGAGATAAGAGTAATTCCTATGAAACTAGATCTTATGGAGAAGTACTAGATTTGCTCCTGTGGCCTCCCATATTAAGGGACATCCAGATTTTGAAGCTGAATGGGGTGCGATTGGGAAAGGTTTTACCGTTCGGCCAAGGTCTAAAAACAAAATCTGGCGGACTTTGATATTAAAAACTAGTTCTAAAAAAGGCCAACTAAAGATCATACGACTCCCTATGTATCTGTTAGGAACTTGATATATAACAATGAATGAAATCAATATGAAAAATGATCATAAAGGACTTAGGTTAAGATCCTAGAGCAAATCAGATGGTTCAGATAACAAAGAAGATAAACAGAAAATAAGCTATGTCATACAGGTTTTTATAAATTCCAAAATACTCCAAGTGCAGGTAAGATATTACTTGACTTTCAATCATAGCCCATCTCAGTTCAAGTCCCATAAAATGACTTAGAAATCTTGCATGTACATGGCACAAAACTTGATAGAAATGTTCAACTGATAGAAACAAAACTAATCCGAAGTTCTATTGCCTACATGAATTAAGAGAAGCAACCACGGGTGCTTGGTCCACAGCTTTGTTCCAAAGAAGTTTGAACTATGAAAAAAATTGCTTGCCAAATATAGGCTCTCTCAACTGTCAGAAATTCAAAGTTAAGACAATTACAAGTTCATGAACACAAAGGTTTGACTTGTCAAAGAAAATCTAGTTGAATTGAGCATTTATGATAGCTAATGTAGTTAATGGTCAATAGTTTTCCACTTTCATGAGAAGGAAGACACAACAGAAATGAAAGCATATTGTACATGCCAGTTTGAAACATATGAAAGCACAGACCTCTACTCTAGTGAAATTTCCAAACACGGAAGTTAAGTAAAAACCTGTCAAATGACAAGTGTATTGTAGCATGAGCTAAAGAAAGATGGTCGAGAAAACATGTTGAATAAATGGCTATGCGTACAAATGGTGTCTATTGATGATGAAAGAGGAAGTATAAATGCTTTCAAACACCACATGTAGCATAAAGGCTAGATTTTAATGTCAACAACCTGAATCTCCCAGTATCTCACTTGACAAGGAGCGAAACACCATACACACAGAAGCATAGTTATCTTATTAGGTCATACAATATCCATCCTGTATCTAAATGAGTAAAAACAATCCTTGGCCGCCCAGCAGCGCACTGAAGTATCAAACAAACGACACCATATTACAAGTCTTGTGCATCATAAAACTGAAACTCAGAATTTTGATCACAACAATATGTTTTATAATAGAAATGCAGTTGTAACAGATCATTACGATCTCACTTATCGACTACTTGCTACAAGTTTCATTGAAAGAAACATTCTGTAATCCAATCCAATCGGAAGTCTCCTTTTGGCTTTGGTATTGTATTACCAAGCAAGCAACTTTGTGATATCAGCATCAGACAAATCTAGAGGGTGGTCTTATAATAAGAAATTGCATGCCTAACCTCTTCTACTCTTAGCCTTAGGTAACTCTCTCGCTTTTTTGCAAATGTAACCTATTCGCTGAAAAATAGATAAAGAAATAGATAGACAGATAGACAGGGTTTCATCTTTCCTTGTTTTTAGGTGAAATGGGTTGATAGATGCTTTTTCGTAGCTCAAAAACAAGGAAACCCGTAAGTGCAGCCCCCAATATGGCACCCAGCAGACGCTCCTGCAATTTCCCATCAACAACACCAAGAAACATATCAGTAGCGTGTATAAATCAATTTATAATCAATTCGTAATCCAATCCAACAAAAAACAAAGATAGAAAGAGTTGGAAGATTACTTGTGCAGGGATACTGATCATGGTTTGGTGCTGCTCCATTTTATTGTTTTGTATTGAAGTGGCAATCTGTGAGATAGATTTGGAGGAGGTGGAGGAAGCAGAAGACCAGACGTACCTATTTGCAGAAATAAGGAATGAATGAGGTGGACCCCCGGTGGTCCACGATTACCTAACGTATTATTATTATTAACAAACACTAAACGTCGTTCCCCTTCCTGCGGACACACTATGAGTGTTTTTTTTTGTTTTATTTTATTTAAAGTTAATTTTAGACAAAATTGGCCTTAATTAAGTTAAATTGTTAATAGATGGTTACAACTAAATTATTCGTAGAATTGAATTTAATTTTATATGTGATTAAATTTAATTGATAATCTATTATAATTTTTATATTTTAAATAAAATATTAAACTATATAATTGTTGGAATATTTATATAAATAAGTTAAATTTACAATTTGACTGTATTGGATTTAAAATATTTTTTGTTAAAAATAATTTTTTTTGTTACAAGAACCCTTATATTTTTTTATATATTAACTATTATCCTTGTAATATTTTTATTATTTTCATATTAATTTTGTAACTTAGATTTAGTATCTGAATGTTGGATCACCTTAAATTTTATTGCATATCAATGAAAAGATAAAAAAATTGTTGTTGCAATAGTGATCTTGAAAAAAAAAATTCAAGAACATTAATAACAGGCTGGGTGCAGAAGTATATAATGCAAGTAAAGTTTTCAAGTAACAAAAACTAAATTTGAAATTATCCATTCATAACGAAGAAAAGGATATCTAAGCACATAAAAGATTTTTTTGATGCAATTGCTTCTATAGCACATGTATATATCTACAAGTTCTGCATTCAAGTTTTACACTTGATTTTTTCAATATAAATAAGATTAAATCCTTAAAAGAGTTTGTGTAAAAAACTAAAGAATATGAAATTAAACCTACATGGTCACGAGAATAATTATGATTACAAATCTCATATCTTTTTAAAAAACCTTGTTGAAATAGCTTTTCTAATTTTAGAATCTGGTTTTAGATTTTGAGGTAGTGTTGATGCCTACAAATACTAGATACTTGTTGTATTTTTGATAATTTCTCTAAATTTCCCATCATTTTTATAAGCTTTAATAATTTAAGAGATAGATAGATAGATTTGGAGGAGAATGAGAAAAAGAAGAAGAGCAATTCTTCTTATTTGTAGAAATAATTAATGAATGGAGTGGTACCCTGGTAATCCACAATAACATAATCTATTATTATTTTTATTATTATTGTTGTTGTTTTATTAACAAACACTAAAGGTGCTGCCTTCTTGTAAATACATTATAAGTGTGTGTTTTTTTTTATTTAAAGCTAATTTAAGATAAAATTGGCCTTAAATTTCACCTTTTCAAAACAAGATTTAAGTCAATTTAAGTTTAATTATTAACAATATATTTATCACAAGTGGAATTCAATTCTAAATGTGATTGAATTCAATTAATAACTTGTCATAATTTCTATATTTAGAATAAAATATTAAACTATAGAATTGAATTCAATTATACTATTTGGAATACTTGTGGAAATAAATTGGATTAGAAATCTTGATTATTTTGCCCTTAAATCATTTCTTTTTGCTATATATATAACATTGCTTTTTGTTGCAAAGCCCTTATATTTACCACTTTTTTACTACTATCCTTGTAATATTTCTGCTACCTTTATATTAATTTTTTAATTTAGATTTAGTATCCAAATATTAGATAACTTTGAATTTCCTTGCATATTAGAAAAAAGGTTGAAAGGTCATTGTTGCATCCATAATCTTAAGAAAAAGAATTTAAGAATATTTTATAGTAGATTGAGTATAGGAACATACAATACAAGTAAAAGTTTCAAGCAACAAACTTCAAACTTGAAAACATACATTTATCATAAATAAAAGAAAATTTAAGCTCATTAAATTTTTTTACTTAAATTT